ATGAATCTATTGGTTCTGCTTCTCTTTAGATAATCCTAATATACCTCCCCAAAAAACCTATTGAAAATGAATGAATTTAGCCAGGTTGTACCATAAAGATAGGCATGCAAAAGTCTGTTGTACTTCTATATCATAAAAACAAACAAATGGAAAATAAAATTAGAAGCAATACTATGTGCTACCATGAAAAAACAAAAATTACCAATTAATAAATTAAATAATATATATGACTTCTACATGGAAAACTATAAAACACAGCTGAGTGAAATTAAAGAAATTGAATTATATTGTGTGCAAGAATTTGAAGATTAAATATTAAGATGGGCTCTCTTCCCGAAATTAATCTGTAGATTATATATAATCCTAATCAAAACCCTAATCGAGCCTGGCCAGTGTGGCTCAGTGGTTGAGCACTGACCCATGCACCAAGAGGTCGCCGGTTTGATTCCTGGTCAAGGCACATGCCCAGTTTGTGGGCAAAATCCCCAGTGGGGGGCATGAAGAAGGCAGCCAATTGATGTTCTTTCTCATCAATATTTCTATCTATCTCTCTCCCTCTCCCTTCCTCTCTCTCTAAAACAATAAAGAAAAAAAATTTTTTTTAAATCCTTGTAGAACTTTTCTCAAATTTATAGAGACATGCAAAGAACCTATTAAATAAGAGTGAAACCAAATTTGAAAAGAACAACAAAATTGGGAGACAAACTATCTGATTTGAAAATTTACTATGAAACTACAGTAATTAAGACAATATTGATGTAACTATACAAATATACATAAAAATCAATGAAACAGAATTAAAAACACAGGAATACAGCCATACATATAAGGTCAGTTGATTTCTCACAAAAGTAAAAATATAATTCAATGGGACAAGGTAACATTTTCAACAAATGGTACTGAAACAACCATATGGAAAAGTGTAGTTCCCATATCCATCTGGAAAAAAATGAATCTCAACCACTATCTCATACTACACACAAGAATTTTAAAGAAACCATAAACTTACATGTACACCCTAAAATAATTATTATTTTTTAAATCAGAGGAAGCATAGAAAAAAGTCTTTGCAATCTTGGGGTAGAAAAAAAAATTCATAGAAGGACCCAAAAAGCATTAACCATAAAAGAAAAGATTGACAAACTAGATTTCCTCTAAATTAAAAACTTCTCTTTGAAAACACCATTAACAAAATGAAAAGCAAGCCATGGACTGAGAGAAAATATCCATATCACACATATCTGACTGAGGTGTACGGCCTAAATTTAAGGCCCAGTATTATGTGTTGCCTTGACAAGTGGTGAAACTGGGGGGTTTCAAATGACCTAACTGGAAGTTCTCCTCCCCACTCTGCTCCTGCAGATAAGGTCTCCAGTCAAACAACCCCCTTTTCCACAGGACACAGGCACAGGGCCTGCTTATTATCCCTGAGTAGTGGGCATCAGTTCCCCACCGCCCACCAAGTTAATCAAACAAGCCAATCACATCCTCCTGTAGGAACGATGAGGCACCTCACCTTCTTGACACTGTGAAGCCTGCCTCCCACAGCCCCTGGTTGTTTATTTTGTCCCTAAGTGCAGCCCTCAGTGGCCCTGTATGGCATGCAATGCCCCCCCCCCCCCCGCCCCGGGCTGTGAGTATATGTGATTAATAAACTGCCCTTGACCTCATCTGCCCAGTGTCAGGTTAAATTATGTGTTTAGCCATCCCCATAACCCTCACCAATGGGGAGAATAGAAAGCAGTCAAAATACTGACAAAGGACTTGTACCCAAAGTAGATAAAGAACTCTCACAATTCAACAGTAAAAAGATAAATAAATCCAACTTTTAAAATGGACTGAAGTCCAGTTCCAGACAAAATGGAATAGATGCACCTTTCCCCATTCCTCCTGCTAAGTAAAATTAACATCCCTAGAAATTAGATATAAAACAACATCAGAAAACTCTGAAAGGTAAAGAGAATAAGGCAGACCAGCTAAAGATTTCAAGACCCAAAGACTGACCCAGTGGTAAGTGCTCTGAGTTTTCTTTTTGCCTCATGTAATCCCGACTAGGTAGTAGAGAGAAGCTGGCAACCTAGAATCTTTATTGGGTACTTAACAAAAAAGCTCTCTCTAACTACAGGTCCAGAAAAAGGAAAATAGAATTTGGCATTATGTAGGTTATTAGTGAGTAGTTTCAGTGGGTACCAAGGATGGAAGCCAGATTGGAAAAGGATAAAGAGTAAACAAAGTTGTTCTGGCAATACAGTATACTAAATAGTCTGAGCACTATCCTGATAACTAAATGATATAAATGTCACTTATTACATTATATACTTATACATATTACATATATGTGTGGATTGAATGTTTGTGAACCCCAAAATTCATGTGTTGAAATCCAAACCCATATGTGATGGTGTTAGGAGGTGGGGCCTTTGTGGGGGTAATTAGACCATGAGGTGGAGCCCTCATGAGTGGGATTAGTGTGCTTATAAAAGAGATCTGAGAGCTTTCTCATCCCTTTGGCCATGTGAGACAGCCATCTATGAACCAAGAAGCAGACATAAAATTTGCTGGAGCTTTGGTCCTGGACTTCCCAGTCTCCAGAACTGTGAGAAATAGATGTTTATTGTTTAATAAGTTTAGGGTACTTTTGTTATAATAGCCCATAATAAGTAAGACAATGTTATATATATATATATTATATGCAATGAAATATAAAATATGATATACATAAGCACCAAAGCAAGCTATTGCTCTATTTTTTACTATTTCTTTAAAGTCCTGGAGACCATGATGTTTCAAATTCCATTTAAATGGAATGTGAAAGGCATAAGGTTAAAACCCAGAGTTTGTTCAAAGTGGGAAGCCAGCCGCAGGATAAAAGAGAAAGAGAGAGAGAGAGAGATTGGTTGAGAGAGAGAGAGATTGGTTGAGAGAGAGAGAGAGAAAGACATTGATTGATTGAGAGATTGACTGAGACCTTGACTGAGACCATGACAAATCTGTACCTTAGCACTAAGCACATGAAAAAAGCAACTTCCCCTGAGAATCCATAATCACTAATAACCCTTGATTAGGTTAGTATTCAGAATTTATGTTATTGTGTAGTCTGAAGAATTTTAAGCACAGAAGTTAATTTAAGGGGGGGGGGGTCCCAGGTTAGTGGCACCTCTAGAGTAGTATTTATGTGTTGATGTAAATAATTTATGACACAGGTAAAAACTAAAGTGGCAGGAGGAAAAGAAGATAAACTGAGAATGTGAGAGAGAATGGAATCCAGTACACAAGAGAAAGGATTGAAATTTGACAGGGAAAGGAACCTGTCTTCCCTGTGCTAAAGTAAAAAAGAAAACAGGTATAAGCATAGCTCTGGTGACAAAACAAGAACATTTTGTCTAATGGTTCCTATTTTCTCAATGATATAGAAAGTGACTGAGGAAGGTGGGAACAAGACTAGACTCATGGGAGATTTGGGGATAGGAAGAGAGAAGAACTATCTCAGAGAGTAGGGAAATGACCCTAGGAAGAATATATAGCAAGATTATCAGACACTACTCACTACCCACTGGAGATTTTCTTTTTGGTATGACTGAGATCAACAAATATTAATAGATTTCTTTCAGGGTTATTGTGTGATGAGCACTTTAAGCTCATCATATTATGAACACAATTTGGAATATTTTTTAAAGGCATTTCCTCAAATTTGTTATTAATGAAGTTCATCTGATATTTTCCTTCTTGCTCTCACAATCTTGTAAAATATTATGGTCAATATACATATACATGAAGACAAATGGATGAAGAGACAGATGGTCAAAGAGAAAAAAAACAGAGAGATAAATGGTTAGAAAAAGAAATATACCCAAAACACACAAAAGAAAGACTCATTAACTAAGAGGTGAAGAAGAGGAGAAAAAAGATAAAGGCATACTATGTAGGTGATACTGTTGGACCCAGAAAGGGTCAACTAACAAAAACTATCAGAGCAGAATGTGTGTAGATCTCTTAGGGACAGTATTATGGGTGGTTTTATATTCCTCTTTCCTTATCTGCTTTCTCTATAAAGTGCAAATATTGTTTGTTTTAAAAAATAATTATAATAAGCAACTACTAAGGTTGACTTCTCAAAAATTTCTTTCTTTCTTAGTCTTATTTACTTTCTCTGTTGATTTTTAATAAGCTATCAAAGATAAAACTTCTTATGAAGACAGCAAATAATGTATAAATTTTAAAGATAACCTAATTTTTCATTAGCTCAGTAGTTCATAAGAATACAGACACATAAACAGCCCTGGCCGGTTTGGTTCAGCGGTTAGAGCGTCCGCCTGCGGTCCGGAGTGACCCGGGTTCGGTTCCCGCTAAGGGCATGTACAGTTTGTCCCCGGTTGCAGTTTGTCCCCGGCCCTGGTTGGTCGTGCGGGTGGCAGCCACTCGATGTGTCCCTTCACATCGATGTTTCCCTCTCTCTCTCTTCCTCTCTCTCCCTCCCACTCTATCTGTACAAAAAAATGGAAAAATGTCCTCGGGTGAGGATAAAAAAAAAAAAAAAAGAATACAGACACATAAACAGATACTTTCTAACCGGGAGTTCCTTATCAATAGATTTTAAGTCTTCATTAATTTAAGATGACATTAGCATTAAAGAGATATTGGCAATATTAGTTTTCAGTCTTAATATCCATTTTCTCATTCTCACAACTAAACACCAGTATACATCTACAACTATGATTCAAAAATTGCATTTGTGGTGACAGAAGATGATTTGACTTTGGGTAGTGGGCACGAAGTGCAATAGACAGATCTTGTAACATAGAAATACACACCTAAAACCTATATGATCCTATTAACCAATAAATTTAATCTTTAAAAAAACAGGAAAAAAGGTGCATTCCTTTGTAAGACCTATAATAACTTTCCCTATGAACCTTTAAATGACTACTCATTACTCCAGATATTTGCTATTTTTCCTTAAACAATACTGAATTTTATTCCCAAATCATTATTTTCCATACCTCTGAAGAGCTTTCATTATTGACGTCCACTGTGTTAACAGGAGTTGCTGATGAATCTAAATCAGAACCTTGAGAGCCAACTCTTCCAGGAGTCTGAAACATAAACAGAAGGGGGGGATCAAAGTAGATATTAAAAATATATCCATAAACTATTTAATAACCTAAATAGTAATCAGGTCTAGGCTTAACACATAAGTAGATGTGTTCTCAACAATAATGAACAGTACTAGCAGCTATTCTTTACTAAAAATTGTACCTAATACTGTATCAAGATTTCTATGTGGTATCTTTTTAAATTAATCAAAATTTTACTTTTGGATATAGTGCTTTATAGTTTCAAATCACTTTCACAGAACATCTTATTTAGTCATGATGACATCTCTGTGAGAGGCAGGACAAATGTTATTTCTACAGATGAGAAAACAGATTCAAAGCAGCTAAAGGACTTCTCAAGATTGTATTGAACAATTGGTTGTTAGACTGATGAACCTCAAAGGGAAGGGGGGAGGGAGGGCAGGATGAGATATAGCAAAGAACTTCTATGCATATATGCATACACAGTGGACACTGACAATAGTGTGAGGAAGGCAGAAGGGGGACAGGATTGGGGAGGAGGGGGTCAATGGGGAAAAAAAAGAGGGGACATCCGTAATACATTCAACAATAAAGATGAGTTTAAAAAATAAAAATAAATAAATAAAATAAGATTGTATTAAACAAAAATCAGAAAGAAGCAGAACTCAAATGCTGATCTTCTGATTACGCTTGCATTGTTCTCTCTACTACACCAATTAAACTACGATGATTTGAGAGGTGCTAAAAAGACCAACACAGTTCACATTATCTAGTCACCCAACCATGTACCATCCATACCAATCACTAACAATCTCTCTCCAATACTTAATATTCCATCACCAAAGATACAGTTTGTAGAGCTAAAGTTTTTGTTTTTTTATCTTACCCCTGCAACCTTTATCACCTAACTTTGGCATTCATTAATACCTAGGAGTTACCTTAAAGAAACTGTAAATCTATTAAAACACTGAGCAGAAAGATTCAGAGCACAAGGACTGACTCAATAATCCTTATCAAAAAACATTTATGCTACATAGAGTTTAATTGTACAGAGTTTCAGTTTGGGATGATAAAAACACTCTGGAGGCCTTGGCTGGTTTGGCTCAGCAGTTAGAGCATTGGTCCATGGACCAAAGAGACCTGGGTTCAATTCCCACTAAGGGCACGTACCTCAGTTACAGTTTGTCCCCAGCCCCGGTTGGGGTCGTGTAGGTGGCAACCACTTGATGTGTCTCTCTCACATTGATGTTTCTCTCTCTCTCTTCCTCCCACTCTATCTGAAGATAAATGCAAAAATGTCCTTGGGTGAAAATAAAAAAAAAATAAAATAAAATAAAAAAAACACTCTGGAGGCCCTGGCCAGAAAGCTCAGTTGATTCGAGCATCTTCCAGATACGCCAAGGTTCAATCTCCAGTCAGGGCATGTACAAGAATCAACCGATGAATGCGTAATTAAGTGGAACAACAAAATCGATGTCTCTCTGTCTCCGTTCCCCCCCCCCCCCAAATCAATAAATAAATTAAAAGAAGAAAACACTCTAAAGACAGATAGCTGTCATGGTGGCAAAATATAAATATCCTTAAGGCCACTGAATTATATACTTTTTAGAGGTAAATTTTATGTTAACACAATTAAAAAAAAATTTTTAAACCTAACTGAATCTCAAGCCACACAGAAAATAATTATCCCAAGTGATTTAAGAACACAGCATTTTTTACTACATAGCTTTAGTGAGATATAGTATAAAGAGGAAAAAAACTGCTAGAAAACATTATGTAAACTTATTAACAGTAATATTAATATAGTTATTTAAAATTATTTTATGTATATTAGAAAAAATAATTTTGTTAATGTTACAAACCAAGAAATTCAGTACGTATAAGATAAAAAAGATAAAAATACAAAATCAAAGAAGTATAAACCATTTTATAATCTTAAATTTGAACTCATTTTGTTTGCTTTTATATATCTTTAAATATATAATTAAGATATATTTATCTTAATTATTGTCACTTAAAAGTTTAATAATGATATTTGAAGATATATATATAAATATAGAAACACATATATAGATCTTAGTTCTTATTGCTTAAAAGCTTAAAAGCAATGACAACCCAGAAATAATGAGCACCTCAAGTGCCCTGACCATGATATCTAAATAGCATTCCCCTCTAAAAGGAACCAGGAGTTTTTAAAGAAATGCTGATTCCAGGCTTAGAGGAGACGTTCTGTAAGACAGACCTAGGACATGGTGTGCCAAAAAGCAAGAAGCTATCAAGCATTAATAGGATCCTGTCAAAATGACAAGTCACCTTGGAGGCACTTCCACTAGCTAAAGCTGGGACAATTTGCAAATCAAAATTCACACTGACCTCCACTGATTGAAAGCCACGAACTATCTAAAAATCCATGAGTTCATAAAATAGTATATAAAAAAATGGTTAATTCTCTTTTCTCAAGGAAAGAGAAAATCAAAAAACAAATAAACTGTATTGATCAATAGTATACCAACTCTTATTCTGAAAATTAGTAATTAAATGAAAAGAATTAAGCATTCATCCTGACTTTCAGTATGCACTGAAATTCATGGTAACAAAATACCCCTGGTTGATGTTCAAAACTTCTTTACAGAAAAATGTCAATGGCCTGGCCGGTGTGGCTCAGTGGTTGAGCATCAACCCATGCACCAAAAAAATGTCAATGTATGTAGAAGGAATAAAAACTTTAGAAAAACCACCATTTTGTAACTTTTGATGAAACCATCTTTCCAACTTAAATGACATAAAACCCTCCCTAAATCCCCCCCCCAGATAAGAAATCTTTCTGTCCTTTAAATTCACTTGTCTCTTATTGATATTTTTCTTGTAACCTTATAATACAAGAAAAAAAGAAAGTAGTGTCTATTATAGATTGTTACAGTAAAGACCCTCAATGATTCATACCTATGTTTTAATGCCCTTGTAATTCTCTTGTTTATTTTTATTTATTTATTTATTTTTTATCCTCACTCGAGGACATTTTTCCATTTTTTATTCAGATAGAGCCAGAGGGAGAGAGAGTAAGAGAGAGAGAGAGAGAGAGAGAAACATCGACGTGAAAGAGACACATCGAGTGGCTGCCACCCGCATGACCCAACCAGGGCAGGGGACAAACTGCAACCGAGATACACACCCTTAGCGGGAACCAAACCCGGGCCTCTCCGGACCGCAGGCCGATGCTCTAACCGCTGAGCCAAACCAGCCAGAGCTGTAATTCTCTTGTTTAATCCTCTCCCACATGTACTCTGGACTGGCCATGAGACTTGCTTGCCTTGGCTGATGGTAGAGTAGCAAATAAGATAAAAACAGAGACTACAAAAGTGCTTGCACAATGGGATTTGCCCTCTTGTTGCTGGAAACCCTTCTGCCACTATATAAGCCCAGGCTAGCCTTGGATATGTGCGGCCCAATAAATATAATCAGCAACCTGAGTGAGGCCACCTCAGACTACCCATCCCAATCAAACCAACAGATAACTCCAGCTGTGTGTGCAACTCTAAGAGAGATCAGCAGAAGGACCACTTAGCTGAGCTTAGCACAAATTGTTGATCTACAGAATCTAAAGCAAAGAAAATGGTGGTTGTTTTAAGCCAAAGCCAAAGTTTAGGGGTGATTAGTTATACAGCAATAGATACCATTACATACAGTAGATGCTATGTCATATCTTCTGTACAAAAGAGAAAATGAACTCTTTTTGAGGGTGGGAACCCTATACAGAGTGAGATATTCACCACAATTTCTAGTAAGAACACAATAAAAGTGTCCACTGAATTTAACCAACATATAACAGCTTTCATACATTAAAAAAGGTTTAATGTAACTACCCTAAATCTACATCATTCCATTTTCCAGCTTTCATTTTTTAACTTTTTAAGTTTAGAGAAACTGGAAGACTAAATGACAAATTACCAATCTGGTTTTCAGAGTATTTGAGTAAAATCAAGATGTTTTTATTCTTTGACAATACTCATTGGTGGGAAGGGTATTGGAAAACCATCCCTTTCGAACATTGTTAGTGGGAGTATAACTAAATACAAAATATGTACATACGCTCTGACTCTGCTAGGGGATTACCCAGTGGATGAATTCACAAAAGTACCATCTATATACACATATACAAGAATGTTTACAACAGTCTTGTTTATAATAGCAAAACTGGGAATAAATTAAATGTCCCTCAATAGGAGATTAGTTAAATTTTGATAATCTACACAATTGAATATAATGTAGTTATTAAAAATAAACAATAAGCCCTGGACAGTTTTGCTCAGCAGTTAAAGTGTCAGCTTTCAGACCAAAGGGACGTGGGTTCTATTCCCAGTCAAGGGCGTGTACCTGGGTTGCAGGTTCTATCCCCAGCCCTGGTGAGGGTCATGAGGTAGGCAACCAATCACTGTGTCTCTCTCACATCGATATTTCTCTCCCTCCCTCCTTTCTATTCTCTCAAAAAAAAAAAAAAAATCAGTGGAAAAATATCCTTGGGTAAGGATTATCAATAAACAAACAAACAGCCCTGGCCAGTTTGGCTCAGCGGTTAGAGCGTCGGCCTGCGGTCCGGAGAGACCCGGGTTCGGTTCCCGCTAAGGGCACGTACTTCGGTTGCAGTTTGTCCCCGGCCCTGGTTGGTCGTGCGGGTGGCAGCCACTCGATGTGTCCCTTCACGTCGATGTTTCTCACTCTCTCTCCCTTCCTCTCTCTCCCTCCCTCTCTATCTGTACAAAAAAATGGAAAAATATCCTCGGGTGAGGATAGAAAAAAAAAATAAAAAAAAATAAAAAAATAAATAAACAAACAAACAAACAATAAGTGCTGATTCTAAAAGATCTCCAAACTATATTGTGAAAAAATTCAAACTTATATGAAAAGTATGATTATATTTGTATAATGTTAGTGGATATATACATCAAAAATTGTGGGAAAATACACAAGAAACTATTAGAAATAATTATTGGAGAAAGAATCTTCAATTTTTCATTTAT